AGAGAGAGAGAGAGAGAGAGAGAGAGAGAGAGAGAGAGAGAGAGAGAGAGAGAGAGAGCATCTCTCCCTTTCATTCGGAGTCCCCATCATGGGGCGCCATGCCTTCAATATGGCGGTGGGTGAGCAGCGACCAGCTTGAACGGCAACGAGGCAATGATGATGCGAGGCACAAATGAGTAAGGCAGGCTGATTTGATTTTTCGAATCTGCCCGCCTTCTGCAAAGTCAACTGCGTGACGATGTCCTGCACGGGGTGACGTCTCTACCGGGCTGGGAAAACGGGCAGACTATTTTTCGGGGGACGGTAGGGACCCAAAGGGAGGTCCTGCCTTGGCCTCCCCCCCCCCCCTTGTTTTTTTCCAAATTTCTAACTCTGGGGCCTGATCTGGGCATACGTGACCTGACACCAGACCCGGCCATCCAGGTCTAGGTGGCCGGGATCGCAATGTGAGCCTCCAGATCATAACCATGCAAAAATATAGGGGGATGGTTTAAGGTGCTGCTTGTGATTGTCTAATCATCTCTAGTGTTAGTTTTTTTTTGTTGTTGTTGTAAGGAATGCAACTGAGCGACAGCAAAATGTCCACAAACTGACAGAAAGCAGGGATAGCCCACAAACAGTGGCTTCTTTGTTTGAACTTCGAAATTGAAGTGACTTTATGTCTCCGGAGTCCAGAGTAAGGGCCTTCTTTTCTGAAACGAATTGAAGAAATCTCACTTCGATCATCGATGTCAAAAAAGAAGGGCTTTTTTTAAATGACTTCATGTCTCATAACTGACGAGTCTTCTTTCTTTTTCTTTTCTTCCCCCCCCCCCTAACTGACGGTCTTCTTTCTTTATGCAGAGTTTGCAAACTTGGGGCTTCCCCTTTGTTTGAGGCGACTCGATACTTTGTTTTTTCCCCTTTTAATGTTGGTTTCAACTTGAAACACTCGCAGGTTGCTGAGACATACCTCAAGAAATGCAATGTCATCTGGGTGGTAGCAGAAATGAAGCGTGCAATGAGCGATGCCGAGTCGAGCCAGCTTCTTGGAGACAATTTCCGGCGGCAGGTAGTGTATATCGTTGCTCTCATAATTGCTGACAAATTGTGTAACTATGTCGTCGCTCACCGTTTAAAAGCGGGCAACACTTGGCTCAGCCATGTTGAAAAGGTGTACAACCATCGAAACATCCGTTCAGTGATCCACACCCAGGATGCATTTGATTAATGGATAAGCACTCACCACGCCACCCGGAGATAGCGATACCCCTCAGAAACAGTGGCCCACTTTACTCGCACCAACCTGAGGCGCGACAAGGACTTTAATTCTTGATCTTTTCTTATGGTTCCTTCCACACTCTCGAAACGTGAAAGTTCAAGAGTTCCCTGACTGCCACAAAGTGGCACAAACTCTAATCTCTATGTTTGCTCGCTTGCCACTGTCGTGTGCACGAAGTGTTTTGTCGAACTCTGCTACTTTCGCTTCATTTTCTCAGTACTGTGAAGAAGTGTGTGCTTGGCTCTCTACAATCGCCACCATAAATGTCTTGGTGAAAAGCACTCAACGAAAGTGATCCGAGCGAGAAGTAGGACATCATTTCTTTCCCAATTTCGAGTGAGAGAAATGAAGGATGTAAAAGACTGAAGTCACTAATTGTGCATCCCTCATATTGTCCGGTGTACAGCAGTCGGGATGGTAAAAATCCTGATGTCAACATCCCAGTACTGTTTCAGGACGTTACTGTTGCAGTTGCCCGATGATTCTTCTCATCCTCAATCTACTGCCAACAGTGCTATCTTCATTACGTGCTGCTGCTTCATGGTTTTAGTCATATGTGTGCGTGTGTGTGTGTGTGTGTGTGTGTGTGTGTGTGTGTGTGTGTGTGTGTGAGAGAGAGAGAGAGAGAGAGAGAGAGAGAGAGAGAGAG